TCGCAATAAGCACTTGAGCAGAATGTAAAAAAATTACAGAAGACGTTTCATCGAAAACAGAATAAAACGTATCATTTCCATCATTCTCACAGAAACACTAGCACGTAACGTGCTGAGAGCGCTGTTCCGTCCCACGTGGACACATTCGAGCGGGCTGCACCTACCTGCTAGGACGAACGATAGTCAATGCGGTGGCGGCAAGACGCCAGCAGCGGGAGCATCGCGACGCCCGCGTCCCGCCCCCGCGTTTGGAGGTGCGGCGAGATGCGCCGTGGGTCATACAACAAAACTGTTGATTTGTGCTCTGTTTAACGACGCCGTCAGCAACTACAGAGCCTAGAACGAGAGGGTGATTAATGAATAAGAACTTGGAAATACACGAAACGAAGCGGGACTGAGGAAAAACACGATAAAGTCAGTTAACTTGCTAACAAAACAAGGCGGAACTCCACGGTTTCACGAAACATAGTTTGAGAGAAATTGGTCCGTAAATACAAGGGATGCAATGTTTGATTTATTATTTATTTAAGGATTTCTAGCAGCTCACTGTCCATATAGCGTCTAATGATAAGGGTCATTAATGAAATAGAAAGAAAGTAGAAAAAAGCGATCTCAACCTATTTAGAGACACTATCCCTGGAAATATCTAGGGGGACTGAAGAAAACCACGAACACGTCAGACAGAACCACGGGTTTCCGGGGTGACATTCAAAATCAGAACCTCCCAGATATAAAACAAAAAATGCTAACAAGTCAACCGCGACATTCACGTCTTGCCACGTCGTGCTTATCATAAGACACTTGACGATGAATGTCTTTTTGGACGTTGCAGCACCTCTGAAACGTCGGTAAATTTCTACACGGCGCAACACCCGAGTACACAGCCATCGTCATACTCGCCGCCGTGAGAACATGAAATATCGTATAAGACATCTTAACCTCGGCACTAAATAGGGGTGAGTGGTCAGTGTTACGCCCCGGCCGCGCCTTACTCCCGGGAAATGACCCCGGTACCCACTGGACATAAGGTTGGATGGGCCCCTGAGCTGAATCCTCTGCCTTTGTCGGGTATCGAACCCCGATCACTCAGTCACTATACTGACTAAGCTACCCGGCTCACATACTTAAGTATGTCCCCCCCGAAGACAGATGTCTTCTGGTATTTGCGTCTTGTAGTCTGGTAGAAACTTCCTGGTGTTTTAGAGACCCCACATCTTACTCATCGCCCTGATGATGGAGGCAGCAAGCACCTAAGAAATGTTGGAAAACTTCTACCAGATTACATGGCAACAGCTCAGAAGTCACTGAGAATTGCTGAAAATTAAGTTTGTTGTTCTTTCCCAGGGACAGAATTTTAAATCTTCCCAATTTTCAGTTATTCTTTCTGGGAAACGAAAGCAATAATTTCATTTGCAGAATTCTTATAGTGACCGACATTTTTGTGGTGCTGTGATAATCGAATCTAAGCCTCATACAATTGCCGGTCACGTTCAGGACGCCCTCCGCCCTCAATAGCGTCTCTCCGCAGACAACCCCCCCCCCTCCACAACAGCGCATTTCAGAGTCAAAACGCCATACCATGTTCATGCTCATATTAACGCATTATTAAAAGGTCGCACACACAAGCTACAGCATTTGACACTACCAAATGATTTTGATCAAATCTGATATTGACACACACACAACACACCAAAAGACAGACATCTTCATATTCGCCACCCTAAGGATCTGAAATTTCACCAATCACATAGAAATGTGTCGTTTGCTAACGAATGGATCCCTAAAGACTGTTTTGTTTCCCTGGTGAATGAGTTGATGATGTGTTCGTTCTTTCCTTCGGCTGCTAAGAGGATCCATTTCTCGCTATCAGATCGGCTCCGATAAAGTCTGACGAACCGGATCACTTTCTGAACTCAGTTTCAGTAAAAAATCCGGCAAACCTAGCGTCTGCAAATCTTTACCTTACCCTGATTTCAAGCCGTAGTTAGGCACTAGGAGGTCGCTTTTGCCACACATGCCGCATGGATAAGACCACCATTACGACATGTCTACCGAGACCGTGAAATATTTCGTTAAGGACGCGTGTACTTTTCTGTTCTGTTCAAACCAAATGTTAGATTATTTTAAGTAGGATTTGAGGTTTTCACGGTGACGGCTATTAAAATGACTATTTCTGTCTTCTGGGTTGTTGCGCTGTGTAGTCTGGTCGATGTTAACCAACGTTTCAGAGTTCCTTGCTGCCTCCATAATCTAGACAGCCATCTTAGACTACTTTACTTTTCTTGACAAATAAAGAATTGTTTTATACACACACACAATTTTTGTTTCTGTAATAACTTTTTAAAATCATATCCGAAAAATATATTTATTTCAATTTTCAGTGGTGATAATTCGGGCTAATACTTTATATAAATCACTTGACAAAGAATTTGATGTCCCCAGCAAGGCTTTTGCAGGTATTTCCTAAGGTTGGGCCCAGCCTCTACACATTCACCCTGAAGACGGCAACTGTAATGTCTGGCGAAAGGTCGCAAAACTATGAACATTCGACGCGACCCATCCCCGAAAGTTATGTTACACAGAGAACAAATTTAAAAAGTACAAAAGGCTAAGGTCAACACCAACTTTTCCACTCTGCTTCGCTACTTTGTGTGTGACAAAGAGTCGTTGAAACGAAACAAAACCCAAATGGAGCCCGTCACCCGACAGTTGCTAGATAACAGTGCAGTCTGTTTCATTGTGTTCTACAGCATGCTTGCATCCCATTGTGATGGTCACA